TCTTCCACGACTTGGAGTTGATTGAAAGTCACATAAATCACTATGTATCAATCCAAGTAAGTCATTTGACTTTTCAACAGATTTGTAAGAGTGGCGTGAGTACTTTGATTCCACGAATACTTCTCTTCAACTTATTAAGATTGTGTTTTGGTAACAATCATAAATTCATCATTCTCTCTAATGATTTATAATTCACATGGCCCAGTCTTTCATGCCATAAGACACTTGAATCAAGCAAGTAAACAGAAGCAGAGCTATTGCCTGCAATTTTATTAATGATAGGTACAACATTCAGTTTGAAAAAGACCATCACAAAGATAGCCTTTTCCGACATTCATCCCACCCTTAGTGAGTACAACTTTATCAGATTCAAATACAATCTTAAAACCTTTGTTACTAAGAAGTGAACCCGAAATCAGATTCTTTCGAATCTCAGGGACATGGAACACGTTGGTAAGTGCAAGTTCCTTCCCAGAAGAGAGTTTTAAGATCACTTTGCCTTTCCTTTCGATGATAGCAGTGCTAGCGTTCTCCATGTAAAGCTTTTCTCCACCAGAACCTTGTTCGTACGTTGAGAACATACTCACGTCAGAGTACACATGCTTTGTAGCGCCAGTGTCAAGCCACCAATCATTGGAGTTTGTCACCATATTCACCTCGGAAACAACCGCAACAAACTGGTTTTCGGTAAGGTTAATGTTGTTAGCGTTTCCACTCGAAGTCCCTTCATTCTTATGACGAGAGTCTTTGGCCCTATGTCCAGATTTTCTGCAAACCCAACACGCACCTTGCGGCTTCTTCTTGAAGTCATAGCCCTTTGCAGCGGTGAAAGGTTTATTAACCTTCTTTTTATTCTTAAAGCCTTTGAACTTGGAATTATTTCCCTCAACTACGTTGGCTCTTGCTTCCATCGAAGAGAATTCAGACTTCTCGTTCTTACGGTTCTCCTCCTCTACACGAAGCTTGAGAATTAATTGCTCCAGATTCATGTCTTCGTGTATGTGTTTCAGATAGATCTTGAAATCCTTCCAAGTTGGAGGCAATTTCTCAATAATTGAAGCAACCAGAAACGCTTCACTCAGACCCAAACTCTCATCCCTCAATTCATGAGCAATGATTTGGATTTCCTCCACTTGTTTCACCACAGAAACATAGTCACTCATCTTGAAATTCAAGAATTTCCCACGATAAACTTCTTAGCGCTTGCGACTTCAGGCTTATACTTCTTCTCTAGTGATTCCCACAACTGTTTTGGAGTTTGAAAAATCTGATAAACATCGTAGAGAGAATTGTCCAACGCATTGAGAACATAATTTTTGCACAGAAACTCGTTTTGTGACCAAGCCTCTGATGCTTTGATGACATCATCTGGAATATCACCTTCAACAGGCAATTCTGGTCCGTCAGACGTTAAGCATTGCGCCAAGTTCAAGGTCGTGACATAGAACAACATCTTTTGCTGCCATCTTTTGAAATCCACGCCTCTGAACACAAAAGGCTTCTCGATGTGATTTTTCACACTTGCAGTAGTTTGATCCATTTATCAATTTCAGAAACAACGTTAAGAAAAAAAAAACTTCTGTCTTAGATTGTTGTTTACGGAGTTATAGATGCAGATCCAATCACGTATCAATATACATTTGTTTTATTGAATGTGTTACAAATCAAAATAGAATTGATACAAAACAGAAACTAACTTGATGATTTCTTCTTCTTGCTTGAATGAACAGAGTAAAGTCGATAGAGGCTTGCAAATCGCAATCTCCTAAGACAGAATTTCGCCCCTACTATGGTGTGAGTAGCTTCAATGGGCGTCTATCTTGCAGGATACAACTATCGATCTCTGTATTGACACCTTACAGAGATCCTAGCAAACTGATATATTAGGTTTTTGAGGCTTTCTAACCAAAGGTTTTCAACAGTTTTTCAAGTCCAAGTGTTATTTTAGAGTCTTTCAGTCTTTTCATCGAGTTTTTTTCAGGTTTTAGATCGTTTGGAAAAAAAAAAGTCATTTTGGGTGCAAACGAACATATGTGGATGCAGAACTATACAGGAACATCCGAAATTTGGCATTCGTTGAAGTACTTACCACCGATGGATCGAGCTAAAATTTGGACACAAGCTATATCTTTGATTTAGCTATCATTTGGAAGTGGTTTGGAGTCGATCCAACGGTGCGATCAAAAGTTACGTCAGTTTTCGTGAAAGTAGTCTAGTTTGGCGCGCGCAGAATGCCGAAGAACTTCCTGAGAGAAATTAGATCGATCTAGATTTGGATCGATCGATCCAAAGTTCAGAAATTACTCGAGATATTTGTTTAGGCAACTCTCTTCTTTTATATTCATACTTTTAGATTTTGTGCTTTATAAGTTTGGGGAGAAGAATCTTTACATCTTTTAAGAAGATTTCTGAACTATTTTGGATTTCTTATTTATTGATTATGAATTTTTCCTCCTCTCCTTGTTGTTTCTCTACTTTCATGTCTGAGTAGTTTCATAGTTAGGTTTAGGGTTTTCAAAGGATTCATGAATCAATGAACTAGACATAAATAGGGTTATTCATCTGCTGTCTTCGCCTATTGTTGTTCTCATTGCTTAGATTAATTTGATCACTTAATCTTTGATTTAGGGTTTAATCTATTCATGAAAGTGTTTTAGATTGCTTGATAGAACATAGGTGAGCAGATTGTCCTTAGCCAACGAAAGCTGATGTTAAGGCAATCTGTGAACAAATCGATCCTGTCCATTAATGGTTGTTTAGAATTTTAAGTTCAAAAAAAGTTTAGATACTTAAGTTGCTAGACAAAGTCTTTGATGCCACGAAAATGGATTAATTATACATTTATGTTTGAGTTCTAGATTGTTCTATAATCTGCTTTGAATAATTCTCTGGTTCTTGATCTCTGAATTCCTGCGAGATACCTAGACGACCTAGCGCTTTCTTTTACTGTTTTTAAACCACTTTTATTTGCTATTTTCGTTTTACATTACATTCAACAACTCATATTATTGTCTTAGCTTAGTTTCATTCATTAAGATTTGCAGTGTGACACTTGGTCCTCGTGGATTCGATCTCTACTTTACTACAACATTTGCTGTGTATTTGCAGTAGTTCTATAGGGTTAAAACTCTGTGTATCACAAACCTACTTTGAGATTTCCAGAAACTGATCTTAGAGAAGAAGAAGATTGAATTAATCGTCTATCGTTCTCTCTTGGTTGTGAAGTCTTTAAATAACCAATCGATTCTTAGCAAGCGATGCGATGTTTTGACAGAGGCGATCCTTGATCACATGCCTCTTCTAATCGATGGATACTTATCGAAAAGGTGTTTGATAAGATTTGGTAAAAAGAGATATATTTACGTTAATATGTGTATATTTATGTTAACACAGACATAAATAAAAATATGTATTTATGTATATAAACTCCAACACAAGCGTTGCCACAATTGATTCCCGAAATCTTTAAAGATCTCACGCGGTTATGTGCTTCGTATACTCGAATAAAAATCCATAATACAACAGTATCTCATATGTGAAATGTATGTTTCGCCAGAAAGTCGTCAAAAAAGAAGAAGTGTTGTTTTGCTTGTATCTCAATATATATTTGATATACATGTGAACGAATCAAAAGGTGTTATTAGGTAGCACGAAACCAAAATGTTTTAAACGACAGTACGAGATTGGTCGGGCATCTATATATGATGTTTGTTCAAACAAAATCTATACCAATATCTAGTGTGAAGACTCAGATCATGTATCGTAATAACTAAATTGTTTCATTTATTAATTAAAAAATCTGAATTTCGTACAATCAATCTACCTTAATACTCTCTCTTCCTATACTTCTTAATTATTTTTATGTAATAACATTCACGAAACATTTTGTATCGCAAACTATTTACCTACCTATACGGTAAAGAAAATTCAAATTAGATATCGACATATTATGATAAGACGTACTATACTCAACGGATTCCTAACTACACGAATTCTTAAAGTTTTTTCGGTGACTACATAATATTTCTGAAAAAAGATAGAATCGTGTGATATTTTAGGTATAATTGGTTCAGACTAGTTAACGAGAAGCAAGAAAGTCATGGAATATTAATTTTTTCAACTTTCAAATCCACCATAGATAATAAGATGGACGTCGCATCTGTTTGTTGCTTTCTATACAATCAATTTGTTATCAATACTCTAAAACGAAATGAGGATTAGATTCCAACTACACTTTCAGAAAGAACGCAAAGAAAATAAATAATTAGTGTTGCATGTAAATCAAGGATCACGGCACCAAAAATGTCAAGAAAACTCGAATCTTCAATATATTGCTCCACTGGTCCAAAAATGTCCAATCCTGTAAAAACTTTTTTTTTTTTTGGATTTAAGCATATGTAAACTAATTCTACGCTCTCTTAAGACTAATATTTACACCATATAATATAATGTTATAGTTATTTTAAGCAATGGTTTGCGTCGTTATCCTGTTAGCAGTACACGACATCTTACCTAATACTGAGTATTTAGAGGACTTTTATACAGATAAAAACTTAATATGAAAATTAACTATACAAACCTACATAATGATATACATCTCAACAGTCTTGATGAATGATAATCAATATTTTAATGTCGCGAAATCGAAATTGAGCTCTCGTAATAACGTAATTATATTTTGTATGTCGCGACACCGAATGTTCTATACATTAGAAATTTCAAATAGTTAACGCGTAATTTAAAGGACCATAACAAAAAAAAATTGATAAATGAGTTAGTAGATGTTTATTGTTCAAACACGACGTCGTTTATACAGCATTTAGTTGTCAAAGACAGAGAATTATATGATTCTTCTATATATTTTCGTATAAAGCATGGCTTAGTTGAATTCAACCACTCCAATAATCTTAACAAGTCCATACCTGCTTTCCTCGTCCGCATCTTCTTCATAATCTCTATTTATATATACATCATCTCGATAACTATTTTTTTTTTTGTAGTACTTCATAATATTCGGCTTCTTTTCATAATCCTCAGCTCCTTACGTACTTATCATTTAGTCAGAATGTATCCATCCGACCACAATCAATCTTCAGGTAATCTCCAAATTATTCAGTTAACTAATCTTAATTCAAGATCGATATCCGTATATATATATATATATATCCAACAATTACTCCATGAACACTAATTAGATTTATAAATCAATAATCTATTTTAGCCGTAGTGGAAAAACCTTCACGGGGGCCATACACAAGTCCACCGCCGATAGGTTATCCGACCAGAGATGCGGTGGTGGGTGATCCTCCGGCAGCTGCAGTGGAAACGAAATCCAAGGGCGATGGCTTTTGGAAAGGATGGTATATATCTCATGCTTATAAATTGTTACTATCTTTCGCACAAAAAAAAAGAAAATGTTACTATCTTAATTTATGTATACATAAAAACTGTAAAGAAGAAAAAAGAAGACTAACAATAATTGATGTGGTCTTGTCTAAATCGCAGTTGTGCTGCCATATGCTGCTGTTGTGTCCTTGACGCATGCTTCTGAGACTTGGGGATTAACGATTTCATCCTAATTATTGCGGTAATAATAAAAAAAAAGATAAAGTCGATTATATATATACTCGTGTTGCTTAATTACTCTGTATCTGGTATGTGGATGGTAGTTATATATCGTTGTTGTTATGTTTTACAAGCGATCATATGTATATTTTGATTTTAATGAAACTTTTTTTATGGAATATCAATCCATATCGAACCATCGATCAGTAACGAAGGGATGTGTTGTGTGTTCGGTTCCTCAAGCTCTAAATCGTGCTGCATATTAGTAGCATGCTATATTTTTCTCTTGATCAAATCAAACGGACATGTTAGTACGATGTGATATATTCATGATAATAACCATAATTATCAAGCTGATTGATTTTGACTTGTCAAATTGCGTCACGTTTTATGTTTGTGGAAGTTAGAGAAACCTTTAGACAATAGAGATCAGAGGAACACATAAAAATTAATTAACAAACAACTTGTTGCAATGCTACTTCAGAAGGAAGCAACCGATAATCATTGCAACTGCGTCATATCGGATATACTGTAGATAACTGTTCAAATACGAACTGGTTGTAATTAATTCAAATATGAAAGTAGAAAAACTTGTTAAATAAAAAAGCTATAATGACATCAAAAAAAAATACTCCCTCCGTTTTTTTATTTATTATATAATGTTTTAGAATTTATATTTTGTTCTAAAATATATGATGTTTTCAAATTTATGTAAAAATTAATTGTGTTTTTATTGTTTTGGCTGTTTGAATTCTGAATCCTATTTTTTATGAGTTCAATTGTTTTGAAATTGATAAATAAATATGTTTTATTTTGAAAAGATAAAGAATTAAATGATTTATTAATTTATGTGCATATCTCTAAAACATCTTATAATAAAAAATGGAGGGAGTACAACTCGAAGGTTTTTTTTTTTATCTAACAGAAAAAATCTTGTACAAACACGTTTAGTATGAAATTTATCAATTTCAAAATTTTAAAATATTACCTAAGTTTTTTTTGTTTTTCTGAAGTTTAGTAGTTTTTGAATTTTAAGATTTTTTTTGTAACAAAACTTTGTAATTAAGTGAATATTCTGGATTGTGTGCTTCAGCCCAGCCCATTTGATATGGGTCGAATTAGATCCACAGTTATGCTTTTAGGGTTTTTTTTTCTGAGCTCACTATATAAACATCAAAAACCTAATAGTTTCCGTCTTCCGTCTCTGAAATTAGGTATTTTCGCCGGAAGAGGGGTGAGAAGCCATGGTTAAGTTTCTTAAGCAGAACAAAGCTGTGATCCTCCTTCAAGGCCGCTATGCCGGTAAGAAGGCCGTGATCGTCCGCTCGTACGACGACGGAAGCCGCGACCATCCTTACGGACACTGCCTCGTCGCCGGACTGAAGAAGTACCCGAGCAAGGTCATCCGCAAGGACTCGGCGAAGAAGACGGCGAAGAAGTCGAGAGTCAAGTGCTTCATCAAGCTCGTGAATTACCAGCACCTGATGCCTACTCGTTACACACTGGACGTGGATCTGAAGGAAGTGGCGACCCTCGAGGCTCTTCAGTCGAAGGACAAGAAGGTGGCAGCTCTCAAGGAGGCTAAGGCTAAGCTCGAGGAGCGTTTCAAGACCGGAAAGAACAGGTGGTTCTTCACCAAGCTCAGGTTCTGAGAACCGAGTTCTTATTCCGATTATTATTGTCTTTATCTTTATAATCTACTCTTTGTTTTAGTTCTAGAATGAATGTGGATCATGTTTTGGAATGGTTTAAGACTTTTTCGTTTGAAATTGATTCTGGATTTTGCATTTTTATACTTATTATATCATCTCTCGGCTTAATTTATATCTTCAGTGGTTTATTAGCTGATTAGCTTTGTGTGTGGAAAACCTAATTGATTAAATTCTAGAAATGTGTTGCAAAGCTTGAAAATGTTGATGCTTATCAGTGGTGAATTGGTATTGAAATGGGTTTTTCTGAATCAAAGGAAATGCTTTCGTTACAACGGGTATATGGTCTGTGTAAAGCCTAATTAAGCATGGTTTAAGACTTTAAGTTGTCACTATCAGTTTACTGTTGAGCTTTAAAACTAAACTGCTCCAAAATGTTTTTGTTCTACTGGTTCACTTGGATTCCAAATTCTTTTGCTCAGGCTTGAATTTTTAAAAAGTTAGTAGTTGGTAAAGTTTTGTCATGTGTATGCAGTGGAACTAGCATGCATTTAGGTTACTTCTGTATATTTTTTTTGAGATGGAAATGGCTTAGTGTAGATGTAATCGGAAAAGATTCTTACTCTTTTTGTCGTTTAATGTAGATGTAATTGGAAAAGATTTTCTCAATTCTTTTCTTCTCCATTTCCTATATGAAAAACAAACATAAAAAAAAAAAAAGAAAAAACAAAAACATGACGAAAATGCATTTACTGATTAACTAAATACATTTCCTTGTATGATTTACGGATGATTCACACAAGTATCCAAATTATTGTCGAGAATCATTTAGAATACGATAAGTCATCATTGTTGAAGGCTATTTGTTAAGATGCAAAATGCCATATGAAAAAATAGAGGACAAAATCTGACCCCATCATCATATGAACAAAAACGACAAGTCATCATTGTCTCTGCATACTTGTGTGAACCTAATTGTATAAAATGTTATTAACCACTGCGAGATTTTTATTTATACTAAATGAATTAATAATTGATGTAAATCTGTATGTCTATATAAACAGGGATCAAGGTTATAAACGATATCATCACTATTACTTGCGACAAAACACAAAATTGATTGCATTGATTCTGAGAACAGATGATAGATTCCTCCAACAACTCACAGAGCTTCTTTCTTTGCTCCATCCTTCTTTTCTCCTTGTCTGCTTCAAGTTTCTTATACACTTGTGCTTCTCTTACACAGTGTCTCCCCGACCAACGAGATGCACTTCTCGAGTTCAAGAACGAGTTTAAACTTTGCAAGCCTCCCCAGTTTCTCGATGAGTACATACATACGTATCCGACAATGGCCAATGTCACCTCTTATCCAAAGACGAAATCATGGGGAAACAAGAGTGATTGTTGTTATTGGGACGGTATCACATGCGATGGTCAATCTGGTGAGGTGATTGAGTTGGATCTTAGTTGCAGCTGCCTCCATGGCCATCTCAAACCCAATAGCAGTCTTTTTAAACTGGGACATCTCCGAGATCTGAACCTTGCTTACAACAATTTCACAGCCTCTCAAATACCGACAGGGCTCAACAAACTCATTGGTTTAGAAAGACTTAACTTCTCCTACTCGTCGTTCTCTGGTCAGATTCCACCAGAGATTCTCCATCTCACCAAGTTGGTGTCTCTTGATCTTTCTTCCTCTTCAACTGTTTTTCAGAGTCGCTTATCCATTGAAAAACCATTTCTTCACCAACTTGTACGGAACTTAACAAACCTTAGACATCTTGATATGAGCTACGTAAACATTTCCTCAGAAATCTCGCAGATGATCTCAAACCTAACCTCTCTAAGAACGATCCGCCTTAGTGGTTGCTACTATACAATCCGTTGATCTGAGTTTCAATCCATATCTGGAATCCTCTCTACCGGAATTCAGTGGAAATAACTCTCTTGTATCTTTGGATCTCTCTGAAACATCTCTCTCAGGTAACATCCCAGACTCTATCGGCAACCTCAAACACTTGAATGTTTTGAGATTCCGGGGTTGCAATTTCACAGGGAAGATTCCATCTTCAATTGGAAGTCTTTCTCATCTCACCGCTCTAGTCTTTTCTTCCAGTAATCTAAGTGGTTCGATTCCTTCTTCAATTGGAAACCTTTCCCAGCTCACCATTCTCTACCTTGATTCTAATAACTTTGCTGGTGACATTCCGTCGACAGTCCAGCAACTGCGTCGATTGACCAGGTTAATGATATGGGACAACAATCTCAGCGGCAACTTTCCAACTGCGCTACTCAATTTTACAATGCTGTCGTATTTATCAATCTCCTACAATCACTTCACAGGCACACTCCCTCCCAACATCTCTTCACTCTTCAACTTGAAGTCATTTGATGTAACTAAAAACTCTTTTGTTGGAACTCTCCCTTCTACTCTCTTTACCATTCCTTCACTGGGGGGACTTTTTCTGAGTGATAATCAACTCACTGGTTCTTTTGAGATTGGGAATATATCTTCAGAGTCTAAGCTACAACTGTTATATCTTTCCAAAAACAACTTCACAGGGCCAATCCCTAGATCCATAGCCAAACTAGTCAACCTTGAGGACCTTGATCTTTCCTATTTCAACACCCAAGAAGACTTACTTGACTTTGGTATCTTCTGCCCTCTCAAGTCGCTCTCTTCATTGGATCTCTCAGGCAACCACGTTTCACCCGTAAACATGAGCTCAGTTACCATTCTTTCATCGCAGTTAACACAATTGGACTTGTCCGGCTGCGGCATCACAGGGTTTCCAGAGTTCATAAGAACCCAGCATCGTTTGAGCTCCTTGGACCTTTCTAACAACAAAATCACAGGTCAAGTGCCCGGTTGGTTATGGAGACTACCAGAGTTGAGGTATGTTCATCTCCACAACAACACTTTCAGCGGTGTCCCGAAAGACCTCTCAAGAGCGCAGGTGGAGGTGATAAACCTGAGCAAAAACAACTTATCCGGAGAGATCCCCAGATCAATATGTGGTATCACCTCTCTACAAGTCGTAGATTTATCAAACAATCACTTGCACGGATCTGTTCCTCAGTGCTTCAACATTCTCATCAAGAGGTCACTCTCAGTTCTAAACCTTGGTCACAATCACCTCAGCG